CTATTTCTTCTGGTGGACATTTAAATGCATAAACTTTTCGGCAGGTGGAGATTCGATGTATAGTAATTTCAACACTTCTTCTAGCGCAACCGTTTGCTTTTCCTCTCGACTTATTTTTTCTTCTAATTCTCGTTCCTCACTCCATCTTCTAGTGCGAGATGTCCAAAACTGAAGGGGTCATTCTGGCACACCTAATGAAGAAGGCCACTTTGAAATCACGCTTTGCTGCCGTGGCACTGGCTCTGTCGTTGGAGGAGGAATTCAGCATTGCACGCTCTCTGGTCATTGAGTCCTTGCTGTCCAAACATTATCACATGCCTGAGGCCGCGTTGTTTCGCGTGATTCAGTACTTTCTCAGGTAGGTCACTTTGTGATATGTTTATCCTCATAACGCACTTGTGCATCCGAATCATGGTTTATCCCTCACATTGACTGTGACCTATCCAGGTATCTGTTATAACGCCGTACCCACAATCGACCGGTTGGTTCACGCCTGTTGGTAAATCTGCGCCCTTACGCTTGCTCTCTTTGTCGCCTTGGCACACCCGACAGGAAGGAAGATAGAAGAAGACTCAGCAGACCAGAGTTATATTGAGACCAAGAACGCTCATATTTTTATATTGGTCTCACCAATCCTTTAAACATCGCCTGGCGGAATTGGTTATTAGCCCACGCTTCTTACTTGATTGTCCGCACCGTTTGGCCAGTTCGCCGTCTTGCTCGGGTACGCCAGTCTTCATCCGCCTACTCGGGGCATGGCAACGCGCGTGATGTCCGACGCGCGATTTCATCAGCTTCCGGTCAGACCTTGGCAACAAGCATGCTGTCTGATGCTTGATTTCATCAACTTTCGGCTGGGTCCTGCTAACACGCTCGCAGGGTCTGTCCCAAGCACGATTTTTGGCGAACGCGCGCGCGTTGGCAATCAGCTTTCTCGCCCAGTTGTCAGTATCTCTACTGACGTGTCTGCCTTGAATTTAGAATCTTTTGATTCACTTTTTATTTAAACGCATGTGTTGCTAAGTCGGTTACGAAGTCACGCATCCATCCATGAATGAATCCTTATGAGGATTTTTGGATTTCCGATTTTCTGAGAGAAGCGCTTTCGTCCCGTCAGTGAACGATTGCTTTTATCATGTTCGTAGCATTTCGACGCGCGCCGCCTAAAGCTCACTTTTGGTTGTCATCTTTCGCCGGTCATCTCTTCTCTTAGTGTACGGTATACTGTCGACCTGTAGCCTTAAGGGTCACAAGCTTGCCTTGTAATCCTGAGGTCGCATTATCTCTAGTCCACGCGCGACTGTTTGTGGTTGCGCGGCAACGAAGCGTCGACAGTGCATACCCGCGTACTGCTGATGCCTTTTTATGCTGCTAATCCATCACAGTATTAGTTTTGAACAAGATAATACGGAGACGTGTACTGCAAGATGGCGCCATTACGTAGCATCTGCTCACTTGCAAATAACACCACATACAGGTCACGTGAGAGAGGAATACGGTTGCCTTTACTGGGTCGAAAAACAGTACGTCGGCACAAATTAACGGATGAGTGAGCTGGAGCAAAGGCAATGAACCCCAAGGAAGCTTTAGGGCTACTGTCAGTTGCTTCTGTACCTAGAGGGTAGGAAGCCGCCGATAAGGTGTCACGACCTCTGAAAACTTCAGCACCTTGGCGTTTTTCTTTCAGTAGACAGCCGTAAACGTTGTCTCATGGTCAACTTGGTGACATGTATCGAGTTGGTGTTTAGCAGTTTCCTTGCAGCTCCTTGTCCGGTTCTACCTGATGATAACTAGGAAAAAACGTCTGGCCAATCACGGACAATGCTGCTCTTCAGCAAAGCAAATATTCCCATTTCAATAACAACAACCAAGACTAGAAACCAGTTCAGGGTTAAGAATTCTTTTCTCTAAACTCATCAGTCGGAAACGTTTATATAGCACTGGCCGTGTGTGGAACGCGACCAATCGGGCTGGGATTGTTTGCAACGTCTAAATCGATAACCCAAGACTGGGCCATAGTTGGTAGATCAAGTGAACTAAAGGAACACGAATACATAAACCTCAATTGTCTGAAATAAATAGCTAAAGTAACAACTAGACAGCTGTGTAAGTGTCTGTCTGTCTCATTAGTAGTATCGATCGTATTCATCGTTTTCTCACATGTAATTCCGGTGTCAGATGGCGGATGTAAATAGCCTCCGCAATAAATAGGCGTTGCTTCCGAAATGCTTGCGAATAGCGTTCAGATGGTGAATAGATGGCTTTGATCTCACTAACTGAAGCTGCATAGTCACAGTCAAGGAGATACGACATAATTGAAGTCTTTGAGGACTTCATTTTGCCTTTGTAAAACCACTTCGTGATATGCCAGCAAATCCTATCTCAGAGGATTCGCGGCACGTGCCCAAGTAGTTTTATGAGGGCGAAATGAAGTCCTCAAAGAGCTCAATTATGTCGCACCTCCTTGATTGTGACCACGTAGCTGAGAATGACGTCAAAGTCATCTACTGTTCACCTGAATGCTTCCTGCAAGGAATCCGAAAGCACTTCTTACTCATTGCCAAGACTATTTACATCCGCCATCTGAAGCCGGAACTGGATGTGCGAAAACGATGCATACGATCGTTACTAACAGATATTGTTACTTAGCTATCTGAGATAGGCCAACCTGTGTCCTAAATGTAATGATTTTGCTTTGTAATCAGACTCCGTAGGTTGGAGCCTGTGTAGGGTACCGAGCGATCCTCGCAGTATCCTTAGCCCACGCGCGACCGGTGGTGATTACGCGGTAGCGAAGCGTCGGTACTATGTCTCGGCGTGTTGCTGAAACCTCTGAAATAAGCGCCTCGTAGTGGGACCCACTTATTGTACTTCCCAGAAGCTTGAGTACTGAAAATCGAGAATTGAACCTGTCAGCGAAGGCACTCTACCTTCCAAGGGCTTTGCAAGCAATGGCTTATTGTAGTAAACGACTCTCAATTGAGCCTCGAAATACCTTTTCCACACAGCATCTTTCAGACGTCAAGAAAGTATGTCATTAGCAAAATCACCCTTAAATGGTAAATGTACGAAAATCTCTTTCATGGGAGCAATGCTACTAGGAGGCTTACACTTGCGTTCCTTCAAATGCTTCATGACAACTTTGTCAGGGTGTCCACTTTCCCTCAGGACATCGTTGGTTCTTTATAGTTTTCCACTTGTTCATTCCATTTCCTATGTACGGTGTTCACTTATTGCTTTACCTTAAGGAAACCGACCGACAGCGCGCCATGGTGGATTAGAGACATCTCCACTGAACTGGGCAGGGATAAACGACACATCCCAGTCCCGTTTAGAGTTGTGTCAGAGTACACCGGCCACACTACAACGTTGTGTACCCTTCCTCCAACCGATGGCTGCTAAATCGCCATCTGATTCCTCCTGGAATAGTCAATTAGAAAACGTCTGCCTACCTCCGATCCCATCTTCAGTAGTATTTTCAACGATCTTCAGCTTTTATCTCGTCTTCGCGCTTCATTTGAGTTAGCACAGTACCCGTTTGTTCATTTTTTTGACTCCGAACAATCCACCGATTCGGTTGGCTTATCCTGTGTTTGCAATACTTACGTGCGTTCAATGCTCCTATACGGTTGTAAAGTCTGACCCATCAGGTCGACAGACAAAGAGGCTATGTGCGACCATCGCTGCCTTGGCAGCTTAACTCATGTCTAGCGGGAAGACCGCGTAGGCAATGAATGTTTTCGGCGTCCTGTATTTAATGCAGGAAGCGTGAGTGAATCGCTTAGCACCATTACATCACGCACCAGGCTTCGATGAATGGGTCACATGTTGCGCATGTCAACACACCGACTTCTGCGTCGTGCGTTGTTTGCACGCCGGGGGTGTGGATGAAAGAGGAGTGAGGCCAAGCAATGGCTTAGTCGAGAGGAATTAAAACCCTCACTTCGAAGTTGGCGTCAGTTGGTGCATCCCGACTGCCTAGCTGGGGTCCCAATACCGATGAACACGTTTGGTTAGATGAACTTGCTTATATGGCGAAGAGCCGGGCCCAATGGCGTTTGTGTTGTCCTATTGTCCATCCCCTTGCCTTTTTGATTCCCTTTCCAATTTCCATCTCATTCCAAATGCGTAATATAATGTTTAACTTTATATTACTTGCTTATTGCATTTTTTTAGTCTGTACTTTTTAAAATCTTTTTGTATTTCGACACATTAGTTAAGCCGTATTTCTCACTCTCGGTTAACATGTATTTATGATAGTATTGATGATCCTGGGCCTCCTTAGCAATTGCGCTTTCAAGGTACTCCGGACTCTGGTTTGTAACTCAAAGATCACCCGTTCGTCCTCGTAATATCTTAGGCCCGCCTGCTACTTTTGGTCTTCGCGTGGCTGCGAAATGTCGATGCGAGGTGCCGGGGTACTGCTTATGTCGTTCCTTTCTTGCATTAGACTCTTCATTCTTCTTAAAGTGTCTTGCTTTCTTCGGTAAATAAAGTCCACCCAGGGTTTTCCTTTCAGTGTTCGGAGTGTTCGCGACCATTTTCCTCGAACCCGCGGATGATTTGCTTAATGAAACGTTACTGAACTTAGGGTTTGCTTAGCCCAACGCTACTGTTGCTGTGTTTGATTTGTAGTTTGTTCAACCAAGAAGTAGAAAACGATAACGCGTGTGTTTAGTAGACCTAGTTGTCTCAGTTAGTTTTTAAAATTCTGCTGTATGTACTCGACCAAACTATCTATCTGATTATTTTGATATCTTTGGCCTAATCCGTCAGTTCGATTTCCATGTTTACCTGTTCTTTTATGCATCTTCTTTTGTCTCTTCTACAGTTTTGATAAGGACTGTTCCGCATTCTTCACAAATGAGAATCGTATGCCGGTGATATGGTTTCGGAGTCTGCTCACCTTCTTGGAGTCCTACCGTAACTGCGTTGGGCCTGATGTGAGGGCTCAGCTAATCAAATTGTGTCGTCGGCATGATCACCCGCAAATTACACCTGAAATCCGAACGCTGTTGTCTCTCATACCTGCAAACGTTACATGACTCATGATTTATGCTTAATCTTTGCAAAGCGGTTTTTCTTTCTGTCGTTGAGCGTCGAAGTTTGGTACATCAGCCCCCTTTCTTACTTCTCTGGATATAGTCTCATGTTTTCAATGGGTGTGCACTTTTCGTGTGTCAGAGGTGCTTACTAGAAAACTCGAGGTCGATAAACAGTCTGCGCTTCAGAATTTCCCGTCACTAATGCACCACCAATGCCAGTCACTTGATACGACCTTGTGTGCCTCCGTTACAGACTCCTCTCAACCAAACATTGAGAAACATTTTCCTCTCCGCCTGTGTCCGTTTGAACTGTTTTTCTTCAAATGTACTTTATCCAGTCACAATTGGCACCACCTTTGATTTTAGAATTAGCAGGTTGTAAATAACGAGAAAGGGATCCCGAACAACCATATGCGTTAACATCGGAATGATGGTATCAGAAGAGAGCTGTACTACTTTAACAGTACTGATATCAACTGGCGTGATAATATGCTTTGATACACAGGTACAGGCAGTCCGTAAAAACTGATCCAGCAGCACCATCCATGCCGCAACAATTCGCGTCTGAAGGAAACCATACGCGTTCTTTCTAAACTCAAACCGTCCAATCGACACCTTGTGTTTCACCGCAAGCGTCCATACGATTGCACTTGCGCTTAGTGTCACATTTGTCACTCCTCCCTTTGGTGTGACCACATGTGAAGTGTAGACTCGATCCCAAACTGCACCGCCTGACGGCCAGTCGAGGGATGAGACGCAGCGGGCCACGTGATCCAACGCACACGAGAAGCTTATTAGGCTACGAGTGTGAACCGACGGGCAAACCACCCACTGAAGCGGTCGATAGTTTTGGTTCGCCAGCCATTTCCTTTTCGTGCTATCGTTCAGCAGCCTAGCGATGAGTACGATAGTAGTGTACTAAGTCATTCTGAGAGCTCGTATTGAACAGCGCATGCGGTGTGACGAAACTAGCAGCGTTTGCACGCGAGGTTGGCCTACCTTGCATGCCATAGGATAGACAGCGGGCAGTCAGCCTACTGTTCGTTATAGCTAAGCTCGAGTGCAAACGCTAGTGTGAGTTAGCAATGCCTGCTCTGCGGTTGGCTAATCGAACGCGCTATAGGATAGACAGTGAGCAGTCAGGCTATGACTAGGCAAAGTCGTGCAATCCTTGCCATTCGGTTATATGCTCACTACTTAGTCGATGGCGCACGAATATCTTCTACCGTACCCGTTCTATCTGTTGTCCGAATCGCGTAACCTCCCTGTTAACAAGCCTGTGATTATTCTTCCTCTGTATGGTGATTGCCGGTCAAACGCTGCGGCAAATCCACTCCAATACAACACTATCCACGGAGTCACCCGAACCATCAACGAACGGTACGTGCTTAGACTAGTGAAAATGTTTGAGAAAACTGGGAGCGTGTGGGACGCAAAAATCCTGGCCGTTTGGCATCACTACGGATGACTTCTCGGCCTGCGTGGTTATCCGTTAGCTATCCAGAAGGCTCGATATGAGCATTCGTACACTTGCCCAGCATTGCGACACTACGCGAGGTGCTGTGCACAGGATTTTAAAGGGAAAGAAATTTGGTAAGTATAGCGCCCTTCAAGTGCAAATTTTTAACCCAATCGATTCCGAGAAGCGGCATGATTTTTACTGCCGGTTTTTGAATACCATGGACATCCATTCCATTCTTTTTACTGATTAGACGGTTTTCACTTTGCATGGAGTAGAGAAGCAGCGTTTTTGGGAAACGTGACCCACGCCGATACAGCGCTTTATGTATGCAACATGGCGCAAAGCTCATGGTATGGGCTGAGTTATCTGGCCAAAAATCTTGGTCCAATTTTTTCCTTTCCAGTAATGTGATTAGTAGTTTGTTGTTTTGCAGTACTAATGCCCTACGTTTCCTAACATCTTCGTACAAGGAATTGCTGCAGGATTGTGTCCTTCCTTAACTGGAAGCCTCAGGATTATTGAGTACCGTTTGGTCGCAACAAGCTGACGCACCTACATACTATGCACAAACGGTACGTGCTTATCTCAACTATACGTTCCAATATCATTGGATCGGTCGGGGACGCGGAATAAAGTGACCTGCTCGGTCATCATATTGATCCCGTTGGATTTCTTCCTATGGAGTTAAGGGAAACGATGAGTTTACAAAACTAAGCCCCAGTTCTCTTGTGGAACTGAAAGAGCATTTTGAACGAATGTCGCCGAATCACTGGAGATTTTGGAAGAAGAGCTATCCAACACCATCAGGCGAATGCTGCACTCTATGCAAACTCCGGTAGGCATTTTGAACATCTACTTCCTTGACATGTATGACCATTAAGCTGATAATCTGTAAATATTTGCATTCTCTAATGATTTAACGGCTAAATTGGTAAACTGGCGACTGGTGCCAATGGTGTTCAGATGCAGATTGAATGGCAAAAGCGTTGCCTAAAGAGAACTGGACGGTAACGTGAGAACTTGCTACGCGGTGCCGGGTAACATTTCACACCGAAGCTTTGCAATGGAAGTGTAGTTCAAAGCAGTAAGATCCACTTTTGCAACGAAAGCTACCTACTGATTGCCAATGATTTGTTGAAAGCGCGTTTTGAGGCTACAACAGTGTTGGCCATGAATATCTGTAATCATCTACTGTTATAGAAGTAATCGCCCATCGCACATTCATTTCTCAAATACAGGTTGGTCTGTCTACGTTACTAGGGGTAGTGTCCACAACGGTCATTACTAATTCAGCCTGGCGCGTGCACTTTCTTGCCTAGTCATAGTGAACAATTGCCTGACTGCTCACTATCTATCCTATAGCGCGTTCGATTAGCCAACCGCAGAGCAGGCATTGCTAACTCACACTAGCGTTTGCACTCGAGCTTAGCTATAACGAACAGTAGGCTGACTG